TTATATCTTACCTTAATGGTATAATACAAGAATTTCTAAGTATCCTAAAATTAAACGGAATTCTATAAGACTCTTCAGCAGTGCGCATCCACGATCCCGCACTCGCGAGATTCGAACCCAGAACCTACCAGTCTCCTGATTATAATCATATGCTCACTAGTGACTGACTTCAAGATACATATCCTGGAGTTCTAGTGGGAAGCAGTGACCAGTGAAGTTCATCCAGGTCTGTTGGGAGATATCAACTCACTGATCACATTGGTGAATGGTTGTTCAATTTCGTGGATCAGTTGAAGTTAGACATTAACACCGTTGGATGCCAACTCAGTGGTCTATCGGTTAAGGGCTCCGGCTCCAGACTGGTAGGTCCTGGGTTCGAATCTCGCTCGCGAGAGTGGGTTCGTGGATGCGCACTGCTGAGGAGTCCCATAGTAGGACGAAACGGCCGTCCAGTACTTCCAGGTTTTCGATGGTGGTCTAGCTTCAATCGACTCATGATTCCAGCTTTGAAAAATACTGAAATCTCCACAAAACCTCTTCTGATTAGAATTCTATAAGACAATCAAAACTCTTCAAAATGATATAGTTTGAATTAAGGAAAAGATCCTATCTACATCGGTACAGATTTCTATTTACAGATTAAGTTGTGTCCGCTGATATTATTCCCACAGTTACTGTGATTCCTGACCCCAATGGATTAAAATTTAATGGTGTGTTTATAAATTTTTAATAGTAAGTCGTTGGTTAACTTGTATTTCAAAATGTGTGCTCATGTATTTAGGATCACACTTTATGTTGCATACACTAACTCGTTAATTGGCTGTCAATGAAGCAGTGTAGTAATCTGTAGTGTCGATTACTATGCTAAGCCCATATAATTTATTCTACCTTCTGGATAGGCCAATTTATCCATTCTTCTTGAGTCACATTTTAATCTCGTCAATTATTCATTTATAAACCCTGAATGTTTTTATATGAGCGTGTATGTGTGTACACTTCTTATCCTATTCATCACATGTCTGTAACCTATTATTATCGGGTTATAAATATCGATTAGCGCCTAATTAAACTGAGTTGGTTCACATGCCTTTTCCACCATGCATCATTTTGTTTCATTTTGTTACTTTGATCATCTGTCTGGATCATTGATTATACACAATATACGTATTCGAAATCCATTCTCGTATTTGACTTATTTTAATTCCGCTATTGACTAACGAGTAAAGTCGATGATTATATACGAGGATCGGCAACATGTATATTTCAATAACAATCATTCATACGATATTAATGGAGTCAGATATAGGAGCACTAAAGTATTGACCATGTCGATAACATCGTCCAATCTAATTAACATCAAAATGAAGGGCCCCACTAAGAATCTGATGAGTTGAAATCTGACAAGCATACACAGTGTCAAAGTTTGCACTTTTAAATTAGAATTTTATTTTTATACAAAAGATCTGTAAGATAACTTCATTGTATTGAAATAAAAAAACCGTAACTTAAGAACGCCATACGACACAACTGATTATTAGTAGATATTGAGATAAAGAGTAGCATTAGTTTTCTTACAGACCACGTGGAAACGGAACTCAATTTGTTCCACTTTGTTGATTCAAGTTGCCAATTATCACTACTATAGGAAATTTCTATATAAGTTGGAAGACTATGTATATCATCTATAGTAAACTAGGAAAAAACTTGATAACTATTTCTTGGTAATAATATTAAGTTTCATGTCAGCAGACACAGATTTCTAATTAGAATCATGATTATTGTATCTGAGAGCTATTACAATTTTAACGTTGAACTATTTCAATGAATTATTTTAACGTTTCATTTAAGCTGATAAAAATTTTTGTTTGTCTTTTAAACTTATGATATGAATTGTTTTTCCTGGTTAACATTTTTTTTAGCGAGTTAGTGTTCTATGGAATGGGTCACTAACCCCATGACCAACCCTCCTCCTTTATCCGGGCTCGGGACCGCCAGTAGTCTCCGGAGGGATCACAGGCGGGGGCTATAGACCCTGGATTTCATGTGAGGGCTTGCCAAATCACCCAACTGCGACACAAGGCAAGCCCTCACATGGAGTCCTGAAGGCCAAAGTAAAAGGACACATTACGCCGAGAATTGAAGACAGACATGAGAATAATGAACAAAAGTTGGATAGAACGAGAAAGAAAGGCGGACGACAGAGTTGGTTGGAGAATGCTGGTCGGCGGTCTATGCTCCATTGGGAGTAACAGACGTAAGTAAGTTTTAAACTTATGAATTAATCACTGTTATAAGATATATTTAATTAAAACTAAACGTATAATGAGTTTAACATTGCTGAATGAATGACAATTTACACTTCTGTAAATATTAATATTTAATAAAGTAGAGGTACTTTTTAACACTTCCAAGATCAAAATTTGAAAGGGCAGTAAATTTTCATTGTTTATTTGTAATACCTCATCAAAACCAACTTCATGAAGGAGAACAGTAATCTAACGGGTTTTATCTACAATAGTGAAGACAAATTACTGTAAATCACTATATTTCATCCATTTGATATACATAAAATCTATTAAGGGATGTAATGAAATTTTACTTCTCATCATTATTTCCTAAATTTAATAAGCCTTATCTTAAGATTACATAATCAAATATACGATGAATATATGCATGTATCAATTTTCATAAAGTATTTTTCCATTTCTAAAATCTATCCAAATACAAAATTTACTCTATTTGTTTATTCAAATATAAAAATTGTACAAAGCAAAAAGTGAATAGTAGTTTATAATATAAACCAAAGAACAAGGTGATGTGACTAATATTACATTGACTGTAAATGATAAATTATTTTAATCCAGTTCATTTAGGCTTACTTTTGTTTGTAACCACAGTATATTGATCAAGTTGTATTATTGATTACTATATATAAAAGAATACAACTACAGTATGTACCCTGGTTTTGTTTTATCAATGACAATCAGTATAAAGCAAAAATTATCTTCGTATGTTAAAAGTTCTTATTCATGAGCTAACTAACAAATATTTGTATAGTCTAGTTCCATAGCACTTTTTTATCTAATACTTTAATAGGTGATGATTATAGGTAGTCAACAAGTATCTGAGAATTTAGGTTTCACGCTATTCGGCATTCGTCAGCATGGTGTACCAGAAATCTTGATAGAACTTATGTTCCATGGCGAATCCGATCCCGTTTTATCCAATTTCACATTCAGAGACGTTACCACTGAACTAGCTGAACCATATCTGACCTCCTGCAAGACTGAATTGTAAGTAGACTGGCGTACGAATTGAAAATTGATGGATAGAATTCGATCAGTATTAAAAAGACCAGACTCTCGTGGCATTAATCACAACGCAGTAATCAGTCAATTGTGAATATTTTCAAACCCTGTTCAAAAGACGAAGGTCTTATACGTTAAAGAATGAACAATGACTGAAGAATGTCCGAAGAATCTCAGCTTTCACTGTGAGATACCATAAATCTTCTTTGAAGAAAAGCCCAGAGTTTAAATAAACAAAATAGTTGTTCCTGGTTAGCGTTGTTTTAGTAAGGCTCATTTCTATGGGATGAAACTATTAACACCGTAGCCAAACCTTCTCTTTTTCTCAGCCCCAGAATCGACAGTAACCCCAAAAATGCTTCAAGAGGAGATTTGGAGATCTAAGAAATTGTTACGGAAGAAATAGCTTTGTGACTAATCTTTAGGCCTTTTTAAGTAATACTAGAGAAGATTTTTATAAGATGTATTATTATCTAATTGTGTACAGTAAAAACAATCCATCTACTGCCAATTTCAATCGATACATTCATCATACCATGCATAAGCCTTGTAAATCCATATCTGCAATCACAATACAAAAAGATCAGATGAAAGATAATAAGTATTTTAAAACTACTCTAAATACATATTCCATTTGATTATAAAAGAAAATAAAAGACCTCAAATGATAAGTCATATAGTGTACATAATTAGGTTGTAGAGATAGGCCTAATAAACCTATAGTGTAAATAATTTTTGATATCTTTTGCATTTATTTTGTTTATTTTCACAATCTGTATGTTTATCACTGAACGATTATACTTATTGTTTAAGTGCACGACCTTGAACACTTACTTACTTACTTCCGTTTTTGAATTACACATAGTACAACATTGTTAATTGCTCATAAATAAATACACTCTTATATCCACGTATCTCGTTCTGTAATGCTTGTGGATATGATAACGGAACTATTAATTAAATATCATCTATATTTATAGACTGTTGTGACATTCTTATCGTATTCTACGTTTGGCGAATTTACTGGAGCCATATCTACCTCGTTGGAATTATTAATTATCTATAATTATGGATTTTGGTATCAAACTCAACAGAACAAGTAACGTCCATGAACTTTTATTTGTGTTACATTAACATTTGAACGTAATAACCTTATTGCGATAATTGGTTAATGTACTTTTTGGTCCATCACAGGGTGAAAGACTCATCGTTAATGAATCTGTAATCTGTGATCAGTAAAAGTTTACCAACTCTATATATATATATATATTTCTGAAAAACAATCTTTCAACTAGTCAGTCAAAATAAGTTAGTACAATATCACGACTCAATGGCGAGAGCGGGTTCGTGTATGCGTACTGCTGAGGAGTCCCATAAAAGGACGAAACGGCCGTCCAGTGTTTCCAGGTTTTCCATGGTGGTCTAGATTCAATTGACTCATGCTTTCAACTATGAAAAATATTAGCTCTGTTTGTATATAATTCTATTCATCAAAAACAATTGACATTTAAATAAAGCACATACGCACTTATTTTAACCAATCAAAATAAAGTATGATCATTTCACATGTAATAAAAGGAAATAAAAGCAACTGAGTAACCTTAGTGACCAAATTTGTGAACCAACCACATTTTTTTTGTTTTATTATTTCTGGAAATAGTAACTGACATTAGATCACTATTATTATTATTATTATTATTATTATTATTATTATAAATACTATTATTGTTTAGATAGTATTTATTTTATGCATACGTAACTTGTGGGTGGTGAATATAGAACAATAAAATAGAAATCCTATAAAAACTCTGGTGACAACACTAACGACCAAGATATTCATCAGCTTAAAAGATCAACGTCATAGTTACAAGTAACTGAAAAAATAGTAAGTTTCACTCAAAAATTTATTCTCAAGTTGAGTAACTTCATTTATTTGGTCATCATGAGCATGTAATAAGTATATATGCTATTATTTATTTATTTATTTATTTATATAAACACATAAATATTGGTACGAGGGGGCACCAGATGCATATGCGCCGCACGAAACCCATTTTATTTGTATGAGGGCTATGATACTGCCCAGGTGCCCAAACTGAAGCAGGTAGTTTTCTTAGGGGGCCACACCCCGAGCCTTTAACCTAAAGATATGATCCACAAGGCAGTGGAGCATCTTAAGGAGATGCAGTCCCATGGTAGCTGGTGACCAACAATAGGTTCATACGCCATTCGTTCCATGGGGATTCTGGAGCCCATGTGCACCACCAACCCTGTTACAGCGCCTGACATTCGCTTTTCGTCCTCTCAATTTCGTAAACAACATCCCCATAACGAGAAGGCCGTGAGTAGGACTCCACTGGCAGTGGCTGTATACGCGTGTCCATGTGGGAGCATTTGGAGAGGGAGAGCGGACTCTCCCCACTCTCGGCCGTGCCAGGGCATTTGGGGGCTCTGACAAATTTAGTTAAATATAGATTCATTATGTCCTTATTTATAGGTACTTTGTTTCTTAAGTTTATAAACGGATCTAATCCAAGTCTTTTGCATATAAAATACTCATACATACTGACATAGACATTGATGATGTGAAGTATAATTGAATTATTCACACTATGACAATCAACATGACTTAGTTTTTCCGCAAAAAATATTTCAATAATACACTTGTAATTGTAATTGAGTAATAACATATACATTAAAAAACCATTCCTTATTTCAATAATTCATATCAAGAATGCAGATTTTTCTTTAAAATGTACATTTACTGGGTACTGAGTGACGTCCTATTTGTATAAGTTTATGCTGGATAATGGATGCTCACTGCTGTGGAGTCCCATACTAAGACGAAACAGCCTTCTAATGCTTTCAGGTTTTCCATAGTAGTCTAGCTTTAAACGAATCATGAATTCAACTATTAAAAATTACTACAATATCCACAAAACTCCATTCTGATACTTCTCAATTTGATTTGAATAAATAAACCGTTTTAATTATTTGTCATTTCGATTAGTTTTTGTTGTTGTTGTTAACTTAAAAATATAATACAATCAGATCCAGTGACCTGTCGGTTAATGTACTACTCTCCATGTATCGTTATTGATAGTGATGATCTTGAGATCAACTTTGATAATGGTAGATAAATATGACAGAGTACAATGCTATTTTGTTTTTAAGTAGAGTTTAACATCTAAAACATATTGATGGAAATCAGCTAACAACATTTGAACTTTGAACTTTGAATTTGTTTCACTTAAATTGATGTAAATAGTTAAGTCATAGTGTTTTCAGTATTTTCGTTCATGAAATATACATTAACACTCATGAGACCAATAACATTGAAGATGTATTCAAGCTGTAACAAAAGTAGTAACCTGGACTATGAAAATTTATGGAAAACAATGATAATAATAAGCAGAGATAGATAGCGGTTAGCAGTGGAATCCAAGACGCGCGTTTCGTCCTATTTGGGACTCGTCAGCTGGATGTACCTGCATCTCAGAGTTGATGTTTGCTCTGGGACTCAAACCCAGTACCTTTCGCTTCATACGCCATCGCGTTATCCACTCGGTCACTGAATCCTGATAGCCACTTGCTTGTGCGATGGGGTGAAGTTTAAATTCATTGTTAACTATCTAGCCAGATAGCCTTCATATATCTAAACAACTGAAATCGTTATATGTCAATAAATATATCACATTATATCATATTTTGTTTATGCTCTCATAAGTATACACAGGTACACATATCGACGATGAACACACATCACAGTTTATTTTCTAAATTTACTCATATCATTATCACCAAACCGTAAATAGAGTTATCTGTTCCAAGTGTACTTTTAAATTAATCAATTAACCGAGATTATCACCAAGTGATTTAGTTATTTTTATTAGTTCAAACTAAACACCTGACCTTCTCAGGTGCTCATTAACATTAAATTCCGTTCGAAAATTAGTCTTGGTTACAATCTTTTATTTTTCGTTATTAACATTATTAGCTTTATTCAATACTCAATTTTTGGTAAAATATAGAATTCTCAGCACAAAGTATTTCAACGAATTTCCATTTCTTACTTCTTGGTCGATCCTAACGATAAATATTGAGTAGTCGCCAGTTAGAAGTTAACAGTTGAGGAATCGACATTCACTGCATATTGCCAACCACTACGATATCCCTGATTGGGTTTTTTTGTAACTTATAAGACGAAAGGCAGTAAACTTTTTATAAACTCACCTTAACAGGTTATATAATTAATAAACATAATGCTGTGTTAAAGCTAATAAAAACAGATAACTTGTTGAAATATCTAGAAGGCAGAAACAGGTAGTCCAGATCTTCAAGCAGGCTGCCTTACGTTTTTTGAAAATAAAAGCCACACGATAAAAAAATATAAATGTCGACAAATCAGTATTACATTGTAGGTCAATTCTTTTCAATGTTATTTGAATAGTATATGAGTTATGAGATACTTACACTCAATTATATCCATTTAAATACAAACGATTTGGTACATTGAAAGTGAATTATTCATAAATCAAGAAATTATAAAGCCCTTAACATTTTCTACTTTTACCACTAGATTTATTAAGTTCTCATCATCAAGTGTTTTGATGATTGATTGACAGAATTTTTGATGAGAACAATGATGAACCAGTAAAAATCTTATCTTTCTAATCACCCTCTCCAAATTCTTTAAACTATAGCAATATCAATGGTTGAAATAATGATTCGATTTAAGTTAGACCACCATAGAAAACCTGGAAGCAATGGGACTCCTAGTCAGTGCGCATCGACAGTGCCGCAGGTGAGTCTTGAACCCAGGACCTTCGGTCTCGCGAGCGAGCACTTAACCTCTAGACCATTGAGTTGGTATCCAACGGTTTTAATGTTTAACTTCAACCAATTAAAGTATTAAAATTACTGCAACCTCCACAAACCCCCGTTCTCATAGTTATCACAAATTTACGAAAGTTTACTGTATTAGGAAATTTAAGAATATAGTTTTAAAGCTTATATTTTGTCGATAGGTGTGTACTAAATTTTCAAAAATACAATCTTAGATCATTGTAGTGTTACCAGGGTGACAATTTGTTGTAAAACGGTTTAGCAAACATGATGGGTTTAAACATTTCATGTAAAATTTACCTACCGATTTTCCTATTATACCCTTATATACCTGTAAATAAATAACTTTTATACGAACAAATATTAACTATAAGTGCAGTCCTAAGCACAATAAGAAAATATAAGTAAACAATGGTTAGCATTTTTTTAGCGAGTTGATTTTCTACGGGATGGGGTCGCTAACCTCATGCCCAACCCTCCTCCTTTACCCGGGCTTGGGACCGGCAGTAACCCCCAGAGGAGCTACAGGCGGAGTTATAAGTAAACAATACTAAGTGAATTTAAACTTCACTCCATTGCACAAACAAGTGACTTTAGAAACTCAGTAGCAAGCTGAGTGGATAATGTTATGGCATTTGAAGCGAATGGTACTCGGTTCCAGTCCCAGAGCAAACATCAACTCTGAGATGCAGGTACATCCATCTGACGAGTCCCAAATAAGACGAAACGTGCGTCCTGAATTCCATTGTAAGCCACTATCCATCTTTGCTTATAAAGCTTGCGACTAAGTCAATATTGAGACAATCGGCACAGTATGCACATATACCAATAAGAAACTGATCAATTGCAGACCTAAGCAACAATGGGTAGATACAAGCAAGCAATATAAGTATAGTTTTATTGTTATATATATATATATATATATATATATATATATATATATATAAGCTTTATTCAATATTATATTTTTGGTACAATATAGAATTTTCAGCACAAAGTACTTCAGCAAGTTTCCGTTTCTTACTTCTTCGTCCTTCCTGACGATAAATATTAAGTGATCGTCAGTTAGACATCTGGATAATGTACATTCTTCTCGCTGCATATTGCCAGCGACCACAATATTTCTTATTAGTCCTTTTGTAACTTGTACAGCAAAAGGTTGTACACTTTTCAGAAACGCACTTGAATAGGCTTTGCGATAAATAGGCATAATGATGTATTAAAACAAACAAAATTAGATAACCTGTTGAAATATCTAGATGGCAGGAACAGGTAGCCCAGATGTTTAAACAGGCCGCCAACAACATATGTATATTAAGTCTGCTATGTTAAACCACGAATTTCTTTCCCAAGTTTTATTTTCATTTATACTTTAATCAATCTTAACTATAAAAATTTAATACAATTATGCAAATAACTAACGTTTTACATCATAACTATTCTAGTTTATTAATCAGTAGTAAATGTTGATCATTGTACACTTTTAAGTAAATCTTTGGTATTTTACATCACATCATACATTATAATTGAATCTAATTCACTAATTAATTAATTCAGTTTGATTAACTAAACATTTTTTTGAGAATCGATTACATTGTAGGATGTATTTGTTACAAGTTGATTTCATTTGAGATACTGTAAGAAACCTGTCTAATTAAACTAGAAACGTTAGTTTACTTGATTTAAGATATTCCTGAAGTTTTATAAAAAAAATTCATGACCGGTGGAGTTCAGATAACTTGGAAGTGAGACAGCTATGTTAGCATAGTGTTCTAATAGTGAAGAGCAAGCAGTGATATCTGATGATCATAGGATCGATTCCTAGTGAGATTTTGGGTGTGCATTGCTGGGCAGGCCCTTACTATAAAAAGGCAGCTATCCAATGTTCTCCAGTTCTTAGTCGTACCTAATCTGAGATAAATCTGTGACGAAAGCAACTAAGAGATTGAAGTAATCTATATTATATCTCCTCAATTGAATTAAACTGCATCGTTTTTGAAAATTTTTAAGATTTCTCACAACAGACAAACAATACCCCTTAAAACCAAAATGTGTATAAATTTGAAAATAACTACTTTTGTTGAAGTTTCATCATTGCTTGATCGAAGTCAACTGGTTACTATTGTAATAGTTTAATGATATATTGGAATATTTTAATGTTCACTGTGGAACTCAACTCTGAGATGCAAGTACATCCATTTGACGAGTCCAGAATAGGACCAAACGCGAGTCCTGGATTCCATTACTAGCCACTATCCATCTTTGCTTAGAAGATGAAGAGTTGATATTTTAAAGTAGCTAACTTAATAATTTTTTTGAATATGTATTCGAAATTGCTTTCGTCCCCTTTCTTTACATAATGATTTTTCAGTTTCATCATAAATAACATTCAGTTTGACATTGTATCTGAGCATCTATTATGTTCGATTGATTTTCATATAACTTATATATACGTTCGTTATTACAATAGAATTTATCGTGGTTAGAAATGTAAACGATTGGATTTGATTTCAGTGGTCTGAAGGATAAACTCTCAATCCAGTCCAGAGTTTCTTGGTGATCTATAATTATGTAATCAGAATCAGTTTGTGACATTAGATAATAAAATAGCTTAAATGATGAGACAAAATTCCGTCAAATTTAAAAAGTTTACCGAAATCTTTCAAGATGAGAATTCATTGTGCACATTTCGGTTTGAACTTATGATTTTCCTCATGGGATAACTTCAACTTTAGAACCGTTGGAATCCATTGTACCGTTACTTATAGTAGTAAATGATGACTTCAGTGAATCATAAATCGACCGAATTTTAAAACTTAGATTTGTCAGTATTTATAGTGCCAACTATGAAACCTGACATTTTTCAATTCAATTACTACTTAACTCTTAAATCAGTACTACTGAAATGTCTTAAACAAGGACGAACTAATTTGTTCAGTTCTTGATATTTCTTCAACTTATATGATAGATTGAAATCTTTTGATTGTTTTCATTCTGTCGATCGAGTTATAAATAGTAATGTAAATTAATCGGTATAATCATGTAAAACGCTTTGTGTATCATTGATTAGGTCTGCACAAGTAAATAAAGCAAAATACATCGTAAAACAATAAAACACAATCAATTCAATTCTGTCAACAAGCATGATTTGATTGACTTTTTATGATTTATCATAAAATAAACAATTCAAATGATAATGACAATAACAAATTGAAAAGAAGATAGACATGGAACTTCATAATATTTTCATTGTCAATTAATAATGATAATATTTAACTTCAATGAATCGACGATATTATGCGACCTTCCATCATTGTCTTTAGTGAATAACTGCTTCGCAACAGACAATAATATCGTTGTATGCCGGCTCAATGGTTCAGAGATTAAGCGTTCGCGCACGAGACCGAGCGTCCTGCGATCGAACCCTACACTCGAAATCGTTGATGCGCACTGTTAAGGTAGACCCATACAAGGACGAAACGGACGTCCAATACTTCCAGGTTTTCACTGGTGGTCTAACATTGATCCATTAAGGATATCAATCTAAACTCAACAATCTCCACAACCCTATACTGATAATTAATGATTGAATTATACCAAATTATATATATATGTCTAATGTAATAAAACCAGTTATTCTCATGGAAAAAACACTATTACACATTTGTGATTTTATGTGAAATTTTGTTGGTAAGATAATTCAGATTTTCTCAATCATGAAATACGGTTATGTAATATTCCCATGAAAATGATTCCAGTTAAGATAACTGAACACCATAAAAATGCTCTAGTATTTTTAAAAAAATACTAAAACTAATTTTACTTCTGACATATATTAGTTATTTCAATCGTCCTACTGATGTTTAGGACTGCAATTAGTCGGTCTTTTTTTGGAATATGTGCATCCTTTGTGAATCGCCTCGATATTGTCAGTCAGTCACAAGCATTTTATGCAGAGATTATTGGTGTCTTTCAGTAGAATCCATAACGTGTGTTTTATCGTGCTTCAGACTGATTAGCCTGAGTGAATATCAAATCTTCGATGCAGGTCCATCCAGCTGACGAGTCTTATATGAGAGGAAACGTGCATCATGGACTCCACTACTAACCATCATCTATCTCAGCCTGAAATACTTAGAGTAACTGCATAATTCACCCAAATGTAAAGTATTCATAATGTTAAATACCGAAAATATTCAATAAAAGCTACACAATTTATTAATTGTTCATGGAGTACTCATAACAAAATCCTCAAAAAAAAAGGTAACCATCTAACTGTTCAGGATTATTTCAAACAGAACACAACTTCTATTAACTAATGTAGGAGAGAACTATTTAAACACGTAAAAATTATTGACATTCTGTTAACTCTTCATAATCAACGGTCAATTAGTTTCTAGTATTTGTAAAATGTAAAAATTGTCAGTCTAACCAATAAATAGTAATTAGGAAAATAATTTAAGAGTAAACAAGTCATTATATCATTGACATTCTTTAGTTACTAGGTCAATTTTTTAAGTAGTATTGATACATTAGATTATGTGTAGGTGGCATTTATGCTAGGTTGACTTCAGTCAAGGTACTATTGAAAATCAGAAAGTACTGGACTTCTTAGAAATGTAGATTTACAATCAAGCAAGGGATCTAACTAAGAATATATATATCTAACCACTAGACCACTGGATTGTAATCCATTAATATACATTTTCAAAGTCAATCGATTTGGGATATGACAGAAAAATTATTCGATCCCATTAGCTATGACTGTTTCTCTTCCAATGTGTTTAGATATTACGGATTATAACTTACAATCATGATAATAATAATAATAATAACTAATGATCATGCCTGAATACTTTGTTAAAAGGTCCGATACTAACGGTAATGAAGTATAAATGAAAAGATTGGTTTCAGTTCCTCATGTAAACGATCAACATCAAAGACACGACTAGTTTCAAAAAGAGATTATCTATAAATCATCCTACATTAATAAAAAATATTTGACTTAAACTTTCAAATCCTAGTGATGTCAACAGTAGTAAGATAAGTTCACAAATTTACTTCAGATTGGTTACAATTGGCCAACAATGATTCTAACCAATGACTTAAGCTGTATTCAGTAAACATACATACATAAATCAGGAAGATTATAATAAATAACTCAGAAAGCTTTACTTCAAGTCAATTTAATTTATGGTATTTATCAAGAAGAACAGTTATTCCTGATTATTTTCAGTTTTTGTCTAGTTATAATGGACAATAGTGTTTTGAAATACCACTATGGCAGTTATATCATGGCATCCTATAAATCTTCTGTTCTTATCACTTAGATATCATGTTTATTCATATGGTGTTTTTTTCTTTTCATATCTTTTGTTTATGTTATTTTGTTCTTACTTCTGGTTTGTTTGTTTTACTTATTCAATTGTTAATAGCCAATTTGCATTACTTGTCATAAACATTCACAATGAATAGATCTAATTACTTTGATGTTATTTATCAATGTTTATATGTTTATTCTTAAAATTTTAAATGTTCAAGAATCAAATACTGCTTGATCATCTTGTCGGTTTCTTCTTCTTTCTTTATTGTTTAATACAAACACTTTTAATGGATAAAAAACTTTACTTGAGCTAATGAATGTTTTATATAGTTTTGTAAATGTTTATTTTGATAAACATAAAAACACCCACCCACCATTAATTGTCATACATTTAGTTCATTTTATTGTCTTTAATAGATTACGAACAAAGAATAGAATAGAATAACATAAATTGATGGATATCGGCTAGCAGTGGAATCAAGGAATCGTGTTTCGTCATATTTGGGACTCCTCAGTTGGATGTACCTTCATCTCAGAGTTGATATTCACTATGGGATTCGAACCCAGTGCCCTTCGCTTTAAACGCTATCGCGTTATCCTTTAATTTTTTAAGTTCTCATCAACTGTCTACAAATTAAAATTACAACGATTAAAAATAGTTATGTAACATCGTGATGAAATAGTGAGGTTGTAAGTAACTGATGAGAATCTAACGAAATATAATGACTTTATGTTATTCTGTTTAATTCTTTGTTTTTGCATTATTAATTGTTTTACAAAGTTATAGATATTTTTGTAGTTGAGATCATGAATCGATTGACGCTAGACCACCATGGAAAACCTAGAAGCACTGGACGGCCGCTTCATCCTACGGTGTTAATGTCTAACTTCAACCAATTCCATAATAAGACGAAATGGCCGTCCAGTGCTTCCAGGTTTTCCATGGTGGTCTAGTTTCAATTGACTCATGATTTCGACCATAAAAATCACTAAAATCTCCACAAAACCCCTTCTGATGAAATTATTAATAGCTAGCTTCTGTTGATCACTATTATACAATTATGTATTCTTTAGAAATTAATTAATAGGTAATCTAATACTATTGAATTTTCACAAACAATATGTCCTACTTTGGAATGATAATTAGTACATTTTTCCTTTTATTGATGCCTCGTCAGTTGTATGTACCTGCATCTTCATGTTGATATTTATTCTGAAAGTTGGACTTCGTATTAAATATTTATAAGCGATGACTATATTGATTCAATCCACTCACCATTCAAGTCTCTATCTATCTATCTTCCTTTCTTTCCTCCTTTCTTTCTTTCTCTCTCTCTCTCTCTCGAAACACATGTATATATGAACGTGTGAATTAATTGTTCAACTACTCATTCAATGAACTTTTTTCGGTGTAATAAACTAATTGTTATATACTTTTATTGTTTCATCACACTTATCTTGGGGAGGAAGGGCATGGTTAATGTACTACAATGTTGCATTTTTATGGTGAACTAAACAAAACTAAACAAAAAAAAGAAACAATACTTTAATAGTACAAACGAGAGAAAAAAATGAATGTAATAAAAGTCACGAGACTATTTTTTATAAGAAACAAAAAAAATGAACTCGGTCTTCCTCTAATTATGATTAAGATGAGAATGTTACTACCATTATTAATAAGAATAATAACAATATTAGTTGCTATAATTGTAGTTGTATCCAATTTACATCCATATCCAATTCTCTTTTCTTCTCTTCCATTGTGAATTGTAAAAAAACATTCTCTGATCTGAACTACACTTGAAAAATACAAATATTGATCATATGATAAGTAACATATTGGTCAATGGTTCCCCCAGTTGGTTAGAGAATATGTTACTTGAAATGCATTTTTTTGTGATGAAACATGGAACAACAAATTAACCTTAGTTACACTTTTGCTACAAATAAATAAATACGGTATTTTTATTGGTAGGCAACGTTTATGTTGCTAAGGTGGATTGTTTGATTTTCATTGGATGAAAGAGATTGTTTTGTTTAGTAAAACTCAAAAAAAAAGAAAATTCATTTCTAGAATTTACATTACCTTTGTTTTCTTTTTAATGTTAATCCCATTAAAATTCATATGTAACAGTCTCATTCACACACATATACAAACAAAGGCAACAATCAACAAACATGAAAAGGGAAGTTAAAATAGGAGTTAATTTATCTCATATTGTTTATTTATTATTATTATTCATAAAATATGATTATGGGGTAAGAAAAAGAGAGGGAGGAAGGGAGAGAGAAAAAGACCAAAGCGATGGGATGGTTTGATAATAATAATAATAATAATAATAATAACAATAATAATATGATAGTATATATATTCTATCTTTAATAAAGTGTACACATTGTTACCTTTGGGCTGAACCAACTGACCGTTTGATAACGTATGCAATAATGATATGGATAGCTATATACTGGCTACTTTTTGTAATAGTCGGTTTGTATGTCTTTTAAACATTTAAATTTGTAAGAAACTGCTCAAAATTGAATTATTCAAAGAAATTTTCACAATGACTGTTCTCATTTTCTCCTTTGTTACCTTTTTAATTCGATTGTAAGTATTATGGGTTTAATTGATTCTGCGTTTGCTTATAGTAAGAAATTAGTAAGAAATTCAGGTCAAATAAAGAAGTTGTGCATTTATGTATGATAAAGAGATGAAAATGTAAAGTTCTCTCATAGAATCTTTAAGAAAAGACAAACTATGTTATGAGTTCAGCGAAAATGGTTATTGATTTCCAAATCAACATGTCAGGTAAAAAGATTAGTTTACTGGGGCCCTATTTTTCTTTATATTTAGCTGACAGATATGATTTGTTCTTTCCACTCAATCCTGGTTGTTAAGGTCATGTTAAAAAAAGTTTCCAAGAAACCGTTTTCATGCATATTTTCTATTGTGAGTGGCTAGAACTTCTTCAATTCACTGTACATCTTTATTGCCCCTAAATGCCTTGGTACGGCTCGGGGTGGAGAGAGTCCACTCTCTCTCAAAATGCTTTCATATGACCACGTCAATGTAACCACCACCATGAAAGTTTTAATCACTGCCTTCTCGTGGTAGAGATGTTGTTTACGAAATTAAGAGGACGAAATGTGGATGTCCGACGCTTTAACTGTGGTTGGTGGATACAGAAAATCCACCTAGGGGAGTTGAAAAATCCTAATTCCAAACCAATGGTACACATGGGCCGCAGGATCACGAGGGAACAAATGGCGTATGAACCTATTGTTGGTCACGTGCTACCATGGAACTGAATCTCTTAATTTTGTTGCATTGCCTTTTGGATTAAACATTTAGGTCAAAGGCTCGGGATATGGTCCCCTAAGAAAACCACCTTCTTCGGTTTGGGCACCCGGACAGCATCACAACCCTCACACAAATCAATGATGACTACTACTGGCCTCATTGTTATTGTGTGGCGTATATGTATTTGGCGCCTCCTTGTACCAATGTTTATGCGCTCAAATAAATAATTACCATCTTGAATTGTTCAAATGGATGTGACAAATAATTTTAAAAGTTAAACAATATACTTAATCTCTTTAATCAAGCACATGCTACAAGACGCAAGATACTGACCATTTGATCTGTCATTCCAAAGCAGAATTCTAAAAGGTATTCTGGAACCATGCAAAGAATGAATTAAGGCATTTGTTAACAGTGAAGATTTTCAAAAATCACAACAATATCCTTCAACTATATACATATGAAAATGATAATTTATGATAGTTAAGTTTATTCAAGCTTAAAATAAGATAGGGTTGTGGACTGAAGGTCCTGAATTCTAATCCAGCGAGCGAGCTCCTGGGTGTACACTGCTGAAAAGTCTCATACTAGGACGAAGTGACAGTCTAGTGCATCCAGATTTTCAATGTTAGTCTAACATTGATCGATTCATGATCTCAATCATAAAGTAGAAGTTTCACATTGTCATTATAAAGTGATTTTTAAAGACTGAACATAGCTGAAGCTATTTCATTTTGATGACATAATCATTTCTTCACATTAATCATTCTTTTTTCAAAAAAATTTCTTTTTAGGTAATTAATTCATTTTTATACGAAAAAAAATGTTGTGCAACCTACCATGTCGAATTGTTTTGATTGTTATGAACACTATCAGCATGGTAAGTTTAATATAAGAATCTTTATTTCTATATGTAGGTGTTAATGTTCTCGTATATTATATATATGCTCTTGCATACACTTCATTCAATAACATAGATACATTAAATTGATTCAAATCAAAGTGATACTGTAGTGTGGTCTAATTCTATCCATATAAGTAATATATGGCGATGGTCAGACATAGAATGTATTCCGGCAGAAGACCGACGACGATAGAACTGAAATGAAGCGCAATCGGTAGGAAAATGTAAGAACAGTGGAATGAAAGTAGATGAACTGATATTTACAAAAAGAACAGTGAAGATTGAAACAATTGATTGTTATTTTGCAAATTAACTGTTTGCCGTATGATTATCAGAATTTAGTGAGATAGTCTGTAATTTGTGCTTAAATACATTCGATTGTCCCCATCAGTATTCTGATCACTACAATACAATGAACGATGAGTTGTAGTTTTCCGACTAATAAAGATTATGTAATACTTGATATTATACTGGCTTTGTTATGAAGATCTTTTTAAAAAAGAAATGAATCTCATGAACTATTCATAAGTTCACTATTTTTGACAATATAACATTAGCTAGTTCACTTATTTTGGCTACTATTACGGAATATTTGTGAAGTTATCACTGTGGAGAATAATTGTCGGATATATCTCGAAATGTTATAACAATACAAAAACAGACTGAACTTATATTAAGTAACATGATAAACCTGTTTATTTGAAAATAGTGTAGATTGAAAGATAGTGATCAAAAGGAAAATAGGTGGAGGTTTTATCATTACGACTAATAGTTTTCTTTAAACCATGGGATAACGTTACTTATGTATACAATGAAAATAAAAGGTCATTTGTGAACAGTAGACTATCTACAGCTATCTAATATCAAAAATGTAATCCATATGACATCGCCTTACATGGAAAAAAAACGAGAACCATAGCTGGGTAGTCGAAGCACTTGGCTTTCATTCATGCTATGTCTCATGTTATAATTTAAGCTTATCTAACTCGGTTTAAACCATCGGTTAGTGGTAGTATGATTAACTCTTACATAAATAATGCAGTTCATAGACAAGTACATGAAATTATATCAGGAATTCATTCACTGAACAAACTACTAAGCGGTAATATCTCATACTGTGAATCAGATGATTTATAAATGATTAATTCAAAACATTTATGAAACAGTTTTTAGTAACTATTCAATGAATGAAATAATTTCCTAATGAAAACTTTCTTTTTAAGTAAAATAACGTTAAAAAAATCAGTAATACTAAGTTGCCAAGGCAACTAACTAGTTACCATTAACATAACCCTATAACTACAACCAACAACAAATGCGGGAGAAAACGACCAGTGTAGCAGTAGCCTCATCAGCAGTAAGTCTGAATATAAACTGAGGGAATTGCAAGACTCTCCGATACAAACAGCATGCACCAGTCGAATTACACTTGACGGAGAAGCTTTGGAGGATGTGAAAACCTTAACATATCTGGGCAGCATCATTGTTGAACACGGTGGATCTGATGCAGATGTGAGGGCGAGGATCGGCAAAGCTAGAGCAGCATATTAACAACTGAAAAACATGTGGAACTCAAAACAACTGTCAACCAACACTAACATCAGAATTTTTAATACAAATGTCAAGAGAGTTCTACTGTATGTGGCGGAAACTTGGACACCTACGAAAGCCATCATCCGGAAGATATAGGTGTTTATTAACAGTTGTCTACGCAAAATACTTCGGATCCGATGGCCAGACACTATCAGCAACAAGTTACTGTGGGAGACAACAAACCAGATTTCAGCAGAGGAAGAAATCAGGAAGAGGTGCTGGAAGTGAATAGGACACACATTGAGTAAATCACCCAACTGCGTCATACACAAGGCAAGCTCTCACCTGGAATCCTGAATGCCAAAGAACACATTAGGCCGAAAAATCGAGACAGACATGAGAAGAATGAACAAAAATTGGATAGAACTAGAAAGGAAGGCTTAGGATAGAGTGGGTTGAAGAATGCTGGTCGGCGGCCTATGCTCCATTGGGAGTAACAAGCGTAAATAAGTAAGTAAGTAAGTAAGTATAACTACAACCAAATTAGCAAGTACTAATTAGTTTAACGTCATATAATTATCTTCTAGAACATTTTAATAATAATAAAGTCAATAATAGGGTATACATTTTGTTTCATTCATAATGGTAAATAATTTTTAATCTATTCAAAATCTATGACCTTAAATTAACTTTTCCAATCATATTTATATCATAAGTTTAATGTTCATTATTATTGAATGAAATACATGATCAATGTCTAATCAGGGTTTATAGTAAAATACAATATTGAATAACCATTGATAATTTAGTTGTTGTTTAGCATAATTTTGTTGCTTTATTATTGTTTTTCCTTTTGTATGTCTGTACACTAAATAATAGGTTTCATGAAGTAGAGTCTATAGATATGGTTTTATGATTTCATTAAAATCATGAATCGATCTAAGTTAGATCATCATTGAAAACTTGGAAACATTAGATGACCATTTCGTCTTAGTATGAAACTCGGTAGTAATGTACGTCCATAACTCCAACCGCGGGACTTGAACCCAGGACCATCAGCCTCTCACGCAAACGCTTAACCTCCAGACCATTAATCCAATGTCTAACGATGTTAATGTCTAACCTCGATCAATTGACGATTATCACAAGATGATTATATAAGCAGAAGGGGTTTTCTGGAGATTTCAGTATTTTTCATAATTGAAATCATGAGTCAATTGAAACTAGACCACCATGGAAAACCTGAAAGCACTAGATAGCCGTTTCGTCCTATTGTGTGACTTCAGCAGTGCGTATCCACAACCCCGCCCCACGAGATTCGAACTCAGGACCTACCTGTCCTATATAAGCATTATATAAGTGTAAACTATTTCGAAAAAATGAGTCATTTTCATGCGATTAATCCATACTGGTTTATCATGACTACTTTCAAGAGTGTTACTACTACTACAATAAGAAATATGAATTTTAAGGATTAAAAATGCGTTTTGTCAATCTTGTTCATAACCATTATGCCCTGCCATAGTGAATGATATCGGCTCGTGTAGAAGTAGGTTGAAAGAAAGATAAAACAACGTATGATAAACATGGCATCAGTTTGTAATGTCATTAGCTATTGGTCTGTTACACGTCTATGTAAATGTCAAATTCCTGCTTATGATCAACGGGACAATCAAAGTCTATAAATGGAAGTATTGAGAGATATCGTTCAAAATAAGCTACAATGAAACGTTTTTTTAGTGAGTGTTTATCGTTCCTTCCGAACTAAAGTCCTTGTGCTTATTTTTAATTTTTAAACAGGATTCAATTTATTGTTATCGATTCCACTTTCTAACTTCTCATGTTAATTACTTATTCCCTCATTATGTTAGTGTGAGAAGTAACCAATTAAACTGTTATACGGTTATGTCAAATTATAAACCTTCTATGACTAAATGATTATAAGGTTCATGAATACCTTTTGGTGAAAAAATCTATAAAATATAATCTTATTTGTACAAACTTATTGTTATTTGTGTAATATGTGGACTATATTCAGACTGATTCATGGAAACTTTAGTTCTATTCATATTCAAACATATTATTAGGTTCAGTATATAACAGATTATCCTGAAGAAGGGAAAGAAATAGCATCTAACTGTTCATATACATTGTAAATATTTTGATAAGTATTCAAATACAAAACATTTGGAAGATTTGTATTTGTTTAATCCTGAGTAAATTACTTATATATAGGCAAAGATGGATGGTGGTTAGCAGTGGAACCCTGGACGCGCATTTTGTCCTATTCGGGGCTCGTCAGATGGATGTATCTGTATCCCAGAGTTAATATTCACTCCGAGACTCGGACCCAATACCATTCGCTTTGAACGCCATCACGTTATTCACGCATCTCTTAGATTCCACAGCCAGCCACCATCCATCTTTGCTTATAATACTTGTGAATGAAGGCAATATCGAGGTAATCCTCACAGGATGCACATATGCCAGTAAGAGACTGATCAATTGCAATCGTAGGGATCAATGGAAAGATATAAACAAACAATATAAAATGAACTCAAATTACTTATACATTTAAGAAATATTGTTTTAGTCACTTCAATGAAAGGATTCGCTTACTTTTAAAGTTGTGTTCTATTGAGTTAAATAGTAATAAATAAATAGAGTTTCGTATTACAGTTCAAGACGGAGTTAAGATGAAACAAAAAAATGATATGTTAGTATAATATTTAATATTTAAGCAAATTTGTGTTATTTTTGCATGCAAAATATTAATCAACTGTACTCACCAATCTTTTAATATAAAGATTGTAGGGCTGGTACTGCTCATACTTGGAGCCTTGATGGTTTGGGGTCAAAGTGTTATTCAATCCTTGTTGAATAATTTCATAACCAACCTAATTAATCAGTACATTAAAGGAACTGATAGTGGACAAATTAATGAAATGGTCACAAGAATACTGACGTCTACTTGTAAGTAGCGTGTTATATTGTTGATAAAATTTCGCGTATTATTTTGTGTTTATTGCGTCAACAGTTTATTAAGTTAACCTGATGTATTTTTAGTGATTCAGAGTAGCCATAGTTAAACACACTGAAGATAGGTGAATAACTTTAGTAACTCAAGAAGGTTATTAGAAAATGATTAACATATGAATGGAAATCGAATAGAGACCTTAAGTTATTTTTGAAAAATATTAAATTTTTATTATATGATCTGCTGCCGAACTAAGTTGTTGCACATATTTGTACTGCTTGAGTAACTCAACCATACGCTTGGTAATTTTGTGATCAATCTAAGTGTAATTAATTGCATTTTTCTGATATACGGATTTTCCATGAAGAGTATGTCAGTTAACTAAATTGAGCGAGGAAACAAATGCATCAAGGCCTGTACAACTTTTAAAAACATGCATGTGTAGATTTAGAAGCACAATATTTTATTTCGTTGTGGAAGTGATGTTATCTGGTCGGGTTGTATGACTGATCATACTCCTGACCTATTTAGTTAATTGGTTACAAAAGTACAACAATATGGGTGGTACAACTGTCACTGCTAGTTAACTGATTCATTTATTGTGAAATACAAAGATGGCAACTGTACTCATCTAGTGTTAATCATTAAGAGTTTACAAGCTCAATAATATATATCATATGCCTCGACCAGGATTCGAATCTCAAATCCAATTCCCAATATCCCTTTAAACTACAATCATCTGTAAGTATTATTCATCAAAAACTGACCTTATTTGGGGCACTGTTAAAACCAGGAAATGTTGGATAACTATTTCATGATAGTATGAAATGCTTCAGGACAACGCAGTCTTGGCCATACCAGGGTTCAAACAAAAAACCTTTAGATCTTGCAACACCCATTAACCTTCCTGGTCATTATTTTACAATTTCAAATGTAATCGATTTATGAAATACAGTCACAAACATCTATTATCATTAGTGATAACTAATTCATTTCTTACATATCCGCAATTCGTAATCATCTAATATAAAACAATATAATCTTTATTTATTACAACGTAATATTGAATGGGATCGAGTAAAAGCATTATGTTTAACTTAGGGACCTATGAAAATCAACTGTTTATTTTTATTTTATTTAAACACATAAATATTGGTACAAGGAAGCACTAGATATATATGCGCCGCACAAATCTCATTCGATTTGTGTGAGGGCTGTGATACTGCTCAGATGCCCAAACTGAAGCAGTTGGTTTACTTAGGGGGATCACACCCTGAGCCTTTGACCTGAAGGTCTAGTCCACAAGACAGTGGAGCATCGTGAGGAGATGCAGTCCCATGGTAGTCGGTGACCAACGATTGTTTCATGTGCCATTTGTTCCCTCAGGATACTGGAGTCCATGTGCACCATTGGTTTGGAATCAGGGTTTTCCAACCCCCCTAGGTGGACGCGCCATGTCCACCAACCCGATTAAAGCGCCAGACATTTGCTGCTCGTTCTCTTAATTTCGTAAACAACACCCCGTTTGCGAGAAGTCAGTGATTAGGACTTCCCTTGTAGAGGCTATATATTCGCTAGCCATGTGAGAGCATTTCAAGAGGGAGAACGAACTCTCCTCACTCTAGACCGTACTAGGGCATTTGGAGGCATGAAAATCAACTGAATCAAATACTATAACACCATATCAAAATAAAAATTTGATTTAACTCGATTAAAATCATTCAAAATGAAATACATGTCATATATTCTATCTTTCACGGTAAACTTATTAGAATGTTACCCTTTTCTTTAAAAAAATCAATCTAAACCTTGTTAACGATTTATTGTTCGAAAAATCTATAAACGGAACTTAATTCTGATTGATTTTCCAATAAATTTTGTATTTTTTTTATTTATTGACATAAATGATTTAAATTTCTGTGAATCAATCTCGAGTTTTATTAGACAACTTATAGTAACTTAGCTTCGTTAATCAATCACCATTGATAATCGTTATTCTATAAATCTTAACGGTGTTTGAAATCAGAAGGCAATAAGAAGAGGTGACTACAGTTTATTAAACGACAGCACGGATAAAAAGCCATAAGCAGATTGATTGAATTTGAAGTAGAAAGACTAATGTGTGTGTACGAACAAATTCAGAGACAAATTTATAGTTAAATCGAATAGGGCGAAGCTAGGCAAGGTAAAGGCTATTAATAGGATTCGGGCACACATATGTATGGAGAAGAGAATGATTCATAGAGCAATATTTAAGCTAGAGAGAGATATGTACGTAGCCTGTCATGTGATCAAGCGTAAACGCTTATACATATATGATAATGATCATAAATGTACAAAGATATACGCAAATTGTTACTGTTCGAACAACATTGTCTATTAAGTTAATAAAATGGCTTAATCAAAATTAACCATAATCGTAAATGATTCTAGGAGAGTTACTGCAATCTCTAAAAATGTATCAGCCTTCATGTAAGGCGAATATTATCGATTTAAAATTACACTATAAATATCCATTTCAATTAAATTATTTATTCATATTCACTGACAAACAAATCTATACAGGCAAAGCGTATTACATATGTGATTACCTCATAGAGAGCATAGTAAGAAAGCAGCATAATTAGGCCTATATATATTAATTGAATTACTAATTTCATCTTATAGATTAAAGAACTATTTAAAACCAGGATACTCTGGATATGTGTTTTATCTTATTACGGGAATATTTAGCAGTGATCATCCATAACTCTGCTACTGGTTGAAACCACGACCGCCGAACCTTGTGACGAGAGTTTGACTGATGATCTCAACTATTAAAATTACTATAATATCCACAAAAACCCATTCTGATATTAATCAACATATGCTCACTAGTTACTGACTTCAAGAGGTATTTCCTGAAGTTCTAGTGAGAAGCAGTGACCAGTGGAGTTCAACCTGGTCTGTTGTGAGATAGTAACTCACTGAAGACAATGGTGTAAGGTTGCTCGAACTCGTGGATTGGTTAAAGTTAGACATTAGCACCGTTGGATGACGGCCGGCTCAGTGGTCTAGCGGTCAAGCGCTCGCACGTGAGGCTGATAGGTCCTGTGTTCGAATCTCGCGAGGTGAGATTGTGGATGCGCACTCCAATTTCATGTGATCGTTTCATTTCTTCAACTTTTAACATTTAGAGTATAAATATTTTTATACATTTTGTTCCTGCACATACACTTTGTTTAAATTTGTAGAAGGTCAGTACCAGCTCATCCTTATTCTCAAAATTTTAGGTTATTTACGACCGTTTATATTTTTTATTGTTCTGTTTTACAGCTCCAGTTGGTATGGCAGTTTTTATACTAGGTGCTGTTTGTACAGGTATCTCGTTGTTTGGTTATTGTGGAGCCTGTTGTAATATGAAGATATTACTTTATATAGTAAGTAGAAATAATAAGTTTCATAAACTTAAAAATGAAAATCAATTAATTTTTTTACTTTAATTATGAATCGAAAAAAATTATTTTGTTGTCTAGAATGATCTTTGGCTGATAATTTAATGATAAATAAAAATGCTCTTTGGTATTGTTTGTTTGTATCTTCCCATTGATGTTTAGTACTGCAACTGGTCAGTCTCTCCTAAACATCAATAGGAAGATTCAAACAAACAATATCAAGTGAATTTAAACTTCACCCCATTGCACAAGCAAGTGGCTATCAGGACTCAGTAACCGAGTGGATAACACGATGGCGTTTGAAGAAAATGGTCCTGGGTTCGAGTCTCAGAGTGAACATGAACTCTGAGATCCAGGTACATCCAGCTGAAGAGTCCCAAATAGGACTAAAACGCGCGTCCTGAATTCCACTGCTAGCCATTATCCATAAATAAAAATGGTTACCTCCTACTTAAATTAGACAATAAGAATGCTAGTAGTTTGTTGATATTTAGTTTTTTTTCCAATTTTTTAATTAATTTACATCCGTTACAAAAATAGCCAAATTTCTTTTTAGATTTATATTTAGCACTATGAATATAATTGCTGATCATTATGATGACTAATTTAATGTAGGCCTTTCATTTGGTTACTATTTTTAATTGACTGAGTGAATGAGTAAACAAAATACCTTGTGATACCTTAAAAAGGAATGGAATATAAAGTTAAGATGTAATCCAGATTTCTGTCATTTTATATTTTATACAATTTATCATGGGTAATGAGTATGTATGGAGAATCGATGGAGAATGTTGGTGAGCGGTCTATACTTTTCTATAAGTGGTAACAGGCGTAAGTAAGTTAGTAATGAGTATGTGATTATCTTACCAATGAGAAACAAGCTGGTTTACTAAATATCAAAAACAAACATAGAGTAGGTTTTCTCATTGTTTCAAAGGGCTGGGGATAAACTCCATGCTGTCAAATCATCTAGGTGTATGGTAGTCAGTGATTACGGTTATGTTTTTATTTGTTTAGTCACTCAATATCAGATATTTTGGAATAATTTCTACTGGAGGTGTGACTTTTGGTAGGCTGTAATTTTTCTCCCACACTTAACACTTCCGTAGAATAATAGAGTGGTATTTTCGTCGTAGAAAACTTTAGAGTTTTCATGTAAGCCAGCAGAAACGACAGAGAATGAAACACACCCCTCATCATGGATAACAATCGTGCAAATAACACTTCTCACTTCATTTTAGTTGGTTGCCAGGTGCAAAGTCAGATTTGTGAATGAGAAAGGAGTTTATCCCCACCCATCTAATAATACATTTTCACATTACTTGAGGAAACATGGGACTTCTACACTTGGAGCAGTTTGATTATTCTAGCCAAATTTATAATTTAAAAATATTGATAAAATTCACAGTAGTGATGACTGAGGAAAACCAAGTACTTAACTGCTTCTTAATAAAATTGTTCTAACGTACTTTTAAAGATATATTCAACTGTATTATAAATATATATAAATACATACTAGGGCAAATTTAACTGTGTTAGAACTCCAAGGGCTCTTTTCGCTTTCTCTTAGGATTCTTTGAAATCAATTACACTTCAACTCTCCAGATCTATATTCGTTACTTTATCAAGTCAGTTCTACTATATTGGCTACAATACTAAAACCTTGGTCGATAAAATACTGTTACCACTTAAGACTAAATGGAAAGATACTCTTCGATCGATATCTAGTTCATTAAGTGAAACATATAATTGTTTAAAGTTACACACATATATTCCTTTTTAAATAAGGAGCAACATAAGAACTTCTTTTTGGGTTTTGAGAGCGACAGAAAACAAGGAAAAGCTAGGCTAAAAAGGGTTTTCATTAACTAAGTTTTGGTTTATGAATCCATTCACTGATTATTTAAATACAACCAAGTATTGTATGTATTTACTACAAAATGTAGGCTTTGATTTCCATTTAAATTTGTTTCTCACATACCATACTGTTGCACTATTTGAAATTCGTGAAATAAGGTTTGAGCAAATGATGGAGTTTATGAACTACTAATTTTCTGAGTGATGAACTCAAAATTAAATATACATAGAGATTTTCCACTTTCTATATGTGATAGAATACTCAGTGAACGGACCTGTTGAACTTCTGTATGACTAGAAACGAGATTAGCTGGACTGGGAAACTTTAAAAGAAGTAGAAATTTTTAATTTACATTGTTGAAAATATTAATTTTTAAAAAAAAGTTGAATTCATGAGTCAATCTATGTTAGACCATCATTGAAAACCTGGAAGCAATGGATGACCGTTTTGTTCTAGTACTGGACTCCTCAATAGTGTGTATCTCCTTACAATGGTCTAGAGATGAAGTGTTCGCACGCGAAACCGGAGGTCTCGAGTTCGAGTTCCGTGTGTGGAGGTATGCACTTTTGAAGAGTTTCATACTAAGACGAAACTGCCGTTCAGTGCTTCCAGGTTTTCAATCGTCGTCCACCTTAGATCAACTAGTGAATTCAACTTTGAAAGTACTACAATCTCCACAAATCCTCAAAACTGATTATGAAGAAGGTAGATAATATTGACTACGGTCTCATGTTTCTTAAATGTCCTGTAAACTTCGACTTGATATGTACAGGTAACTCTTAGTCATTCATAAATAATTGTACACAATAATCAGCGCAACTATTACATTACTTAATGACCCAATATTAATCGGTGCAAATAGCTAATAATTTAAAATATTAATTACTAGCCATAAACTACTGAATTTTTCATTTAAGTAATACCTCGTGTTTTATTTCTTTTGTTGTATAATTATCATTCACGTTAACTCTAAGACAATTTACCGTTTGTTTCATATTTATTTCCATCCAGTACGCAATTTTAGTAGGAGCTTTGGCACTTGCTTTTCTGATCACATTCAGTGTGTACTTCTCTCGTAAAGATGAGGTAAGTTCTACTACGTTTCTAAAAGGAATCATTAAATTTTATTGATTGTTCAATTTGAACAAATGGGACCAGAAAAAAGGGAACGAGTATTGGAAGTGTTTTGATTTAAATTTAAAGCTTGCTAAATACTTATATTAGTCATTAACTGAATAAGCTGAATGCATATTTATATGGGAGATTTGTGAAGATTATAGTATTTCCACCGTTGAAATCGCTAGTCAGTCTAAGGTCGACCATCATTGAAATCTAAAAGCAACCATTTCGTCACAGTATAAGTCTTCAATGTTAACCATAACACAAGAAAGATAATTACTAAGTAACATGTAATAATATAGGTTTAAGAGTTTTGAATAACTATGCTTTCTCTTATACAAACTAAATTGTTAAGAGATATTGCTAATTATTGAAACAATTCTCTAAATGAAGAAGAAAAAGTAGAAAAGTCCCCATAATACTGTAAAAGAAATACTATCATTAACAAATACTCAAGAAAATTTGCGACAACTCATCTATGTTATTCTCTAACCTGAATGTTCAAATACCCACACTTCAAGACATTCAGGGTTATCAGAAACCCATAGTTTCTGTAGGTCCTGGATTCAAATCTCGCGAGTCGGGATCGTGTATGCGCACTGCTGAGGAGTCCCACAATAGGACGAAACGGCCGTCCAGTCCTTCCAGGTTTTCCATGGTGGTCTAGCTTCAATTGACTCATGGTTTCAACCTTGAAAAATCAGTTTTCTAATTTCATTGAAGATTCAAGTGTATTATAGTACAAGTATGAGAGTACAGTATAAGAGTTTGATTGCTGGGGAGTCTGTGTAGTGTGTGTTCAGTGCACCGAACATAATATAGACTTTCTAACAATTTCTTATCCGATAATTAAAATAACCCATAGTGTCATTGAATAACAAAAAGAGAATCCAGAGAAAAAAATTTTCTTCTCGATGAAATCATTTACTGAAGCTGTACATTCGTACACATGGTTTTATGGAAAATATATGTCTAAAGGAGGCTAGAAAAGAGTGCATAATAAATTGATTCAAGAATAAATAACAAATGAGGTTACATACTAATCAAGGGGTAAGGAAGAAAATAATTTATGGGTCAGATAATAGTCCAATTGACAGATATGAAGAAAAGCGACAAACACAAAGGTCATAATAATAGACTAAATAATAATCAAGGCAACTTGTATAAGGTAATAATAATAACTGATTAGAGTTAAAAATGCAAAACAATGATAATAAAAAATTGATAATAATCAAATAAAAGTGCAGAAAACAAAACAACAACAATAACAACCAGAAACACACCCATTAATGGAATTAGGGCCAAGGAGGGGTGAGAGGTTGGACAAATCGTTCAGGCTTGAGTTCGTGGATTGCCAATGCTTCAGCAGTGCATAAAATATTGATTCGACCCCCCCTTTCGATCCGGTTCCTTTGATTCTGTAGATTACTGTAAAAGAGGAGTCTTTTGGAGCGATGTGTCCACAGTTAATTAAATGCTCCTATATCGAACTGGTAATTTTTTACATTTTCCTTTTAAGAGCCAAGCCGGATAGTGTTCCGAGATGCGTTTGGAAAGTGATTGCATTGTGCGTCCTATGTAACGTGCCCCACGTGAGCAAGTAAATTTATAGGTACACATTGATTAGCTCAGAATGGTAGGCCGGCTATAGAAAACAATTCGAAGCTTAGTTTTATTCAACGATTTTAAAATCCGTTTATTCAGGATTTCAGCAGCCATGTCTCCTATAAGTTCCATATTCATAAATAAAGTTTTCTTCTGCACTGTCAAAGCTTTTTCCTGATGAAGTCTAGGTGTTAAGTTGCTATCGACCAACCTAAGTGGATACCCATTTTTGATGAAGGTCTGTCGAAGATGAAATAGTTCTTCATCTATTGTGTCATTGGAACAGATTCGCTTGATCCTAGAGGATAAATAGTGAATTAAGTTCCTTTTTCGACTCAGTAGGACCCAACAATAGAAATTCGTATATTGTCCATTTCAAGTGGGTTTTCTATATATAGATCTCTGCAAATAACCATCAGGCATTCTTTTTAAATGGACATCAAAAAAATGAAATTCATGGTTCGCTTCTGCTTCTAAGGTAAATTGTATTGACGGGTGACAATTATTGAAAACATTTAAGATTTCATTGAGGTCCATTTCTTCTTCACAAATAATGAAATTATCATCCATATATCTCTCATATAAATGAAATCTATAAATTTTTGGTCGAAGTACAGAATTTTCTAGATTGGCTATGAAACAATCAGCCAGGAAAGGACCCAATGGAGAGCCCATTGCAACTCCATATGTTTGGCTATAGAAAACATCATTAAATTTAAATTGCACATTTAGCGTACATCGTAGAAGTAGTTCTTTAAAATACTGTTTTGAGATACACATATCAAGATTATTGTTTTCAATATAGTCATATAAAAAACAAATAGTTTCTATGAGAGGAACATTTGTAAAAAGAGAAGTGATATCTAATGAGAACATTTTCTTACCAATTACGTTGATATTCCTAATTCAATCGACAAATTCAAAAGAATCAAGAGAATTGTATTTCTTGATATGATTTTTAACAGGTTGTAAATTATTAACTAACCATTTAGCGATCAAGTGATAAGGAGAGTTGTTCATATTATATTTTCTTCCTTACCCCTTGATTAGTATGTAACCTAATTTGTTATTCATTCTCGAATCAATTTATAATGCTTTTTTCCTAGCCTTCTATAAACATATATTTTCCATAAAGCCATATGTACGAATGTACAGCTTCAGTAAATGATTTCATCGAGAAGAAAATTTTCTTCGCTGAATTCTCTTTTTCTTATTCAATTTCTTATCATTAGACCATATACACCTGAGCAAATCTGTTCTTTGCATAGTTGAAAGCATTAGTCAGTTGAAGATACATCACCAAGGGAAACCTAGAAGTACTGGACGGCCATTTCGTCCTATTGTGGGACTCCTCAGCAGTGCGCATCCACGATCTCGCCTCACGAGATTCATGCGAGACTCATGCTTTCAACTAGGCATATACTGAAATCTCGACAAAAACCCCTTCTGAATAAAATCTGTTCTTGTCGGAACAGCTGAAAAACCTGTTAAATAAATGTGCTAACCAATTTGTACTTATTCAGTTGATAATTATTTGTGTACATTTTTTAATGTATGTGCACATGTTTGTGTGTGTTTGTTTATTTTATTCACTGTTTATTTGGACCCTATAAACTAAATTAATAGTTCATGCATTCATTTGATCACCAAATTAATCCATATGCCAAAACAGTTGATCCATACTTCAGTTCACTCATCCTAATGACTGATCAATAGATCCACAACATATACAATTAATACTTCCACCATAACCACCATCAAAAATGCATAGGTATTAATAAATAATTGTTTACGAAAAATACTCCAGATCCGTTGGCTAGATACCATCGGTAATAACCTATTAGAACAGAAAATACCAGCTTCCAACCGAATAGGAAATTAAAAGATGCTGGAGGTGAACAAGACACACATTGTGGAAATCATCAAAATGCATCACAATGCAATTGCAAACATGGAATTCTCAAGGAAAAAGGAAAAGCGATAGACCAAAGAACACATAGTTTCAAGAATTGTAGGCAAATATCAAACTAGTGAAAAGGACTTGGTGAAAACTGAAAAGGAGAAGTCATGACATAGTTAAGAACTGAAACGACTAGGATCAAAACAGCACAAAACCTATATAAACATCACCAGTGTTTAAAACATCCATAAATTCACAGGTTTGTTTATCTGATGCAAGATGAGATCAAACTAAGTTTTTAACGAAACAAATATGGGCGAATTTATTTAATAAAACTTTAACTATTGTTTTAACAATTTCTGACATCTAGATTGGAAACAGAGCAATTGACCTATTCGAGACAAGTGTCAAGAATTATCAATCAATGGCAGCAAATACAATTGACAGCTTAGTGGTTGGCTTAATCTCACCTCCAGTAAGCAGGTGTACTTTATGTTTTGTTATTTTGTCTGAGTAATGATCGTGGTATAATTGATATATACAATATCAGTGCAATTCCCTCTAAATGCATGTATGCTGATATGGAATGACAAATTCCATTACGTAATATCACTAATAAAAAAACTAAAGCCCGAACGTATAACTTCATATCTACTGAACATATTAGTGGTTGTCTGGACTCATTAGCTGAAATAAAACGTTGGCATTCAATACTTGATTAGAGTCTAATTGTGAACATTCACACCGAGATGCAGGTACATCCGTTTGATGAGTCTCAGACAGGACGAAACGTACGTTTTAGTTCTACTTCTAGACATAGTCTAGATCTACATATTTCTGGAGACTGTGGACATCTTGATAAAAGTATTTCTAACAAGGCATAATCGATTGACCTCAAACTCAATCAAGTACATTTAGAAATAATTTTTAATGTCTATCATTTTTGTGAACAAAACGAAATAACTTTTAACTGACATTGTCAACTTTAGCTTAGAATAATTTTCCCGTATGTTTTATACTTGTTGTTCATCCGAGTACAAAATTCCACTCACAGTTGTTGCTTGGTATTGTGTAACTAGTGACGTACATACAAATTATGCGCCTTATTCTACATCAACAGCTTGCTTAGAATGACCTTTTATCAGTGTTAGTGTTTCCTTTGAAGCTCAAATCACTTCACAAATCAGAGAGCTAGTCATTTTAATTTCAAAAATCAATTATGGAAACATAGAACTTATTATAACAAGAAGTGACATTTGACAGTCGTAAATATTTAGAAAACTGTTTGAACTGATAGATATTGTGCCTACATTGAAGTATCAAAACCAATATAGATATGAGGTCTACCCACGTACCAAGTGTTAAACAGAGAAGAATGTGATTTATTAATTACTACTCCCTAGTTATTGTCCAAAATGAAAGCAAGTAATTATTTTAATATCAATGAAGCTAGCTTTTTTTTCCTTAATTATCTAACGACTAAGTTTTATCGATGTACAAAGGTCATTACTTAGCAATCCTGGACAAGAGCCGTCACCTTTGACCACATGTCACATCTAAAACCCCGATTACTCTAATTCAATTACGTAATGATAGGTAAATGTATATTCCTAACATTACATCAGGGCTATAAATACTACCTGGCTGATAAAGCAGAAAGTGAATAAAGTGAGGTTGGAATTTTTAGCCTAGTTACTGTCTGGCAACTGTTATACTCGTTAAGTAATTCCAGTCTTTACAATTATATATATAACCCAGAAGAAAATACTTGATCATTATACTGATCTTCAGATGAAATAGGCTGAATCAAACATTTTACAATCTGAATCGTACAGCTTTATGGTGTGATCCAACAACACGAGTACCGAAAATGTTTATAGGGATTCAGTGTAAAGAATTTATAAATTTATTTGTGTTCAGTGTTCTACAAATAACAGATAGATCGCTATTTGTTTATTTATACGATAATCTTGTTTAATCTTTCATCAAGACACCTTTTTTTCTTTTTATAGCTTCAATGCTGTGGTGTGGATAGTGGAGAAGACTTTAAAACTTCAACTAATTTCTGGAAAAACGATACTTACGGTGGTAAAACATATAGTAGTAAGTGTCCCTCTTATTTACTTTTATGCTTTTTTGCTCTGAGTTGAAATATGGCTTCAAGTGCGATCCAGAATCGACAGTTTAACTGACTTAATATCACTGTATACATATTTTAACAATAGGAAGTTGAGGCTAGTCAACAAGAAACTCTGGATCTAGATCTTTTGCTGGCTACCATCTACTGGTAAGCCATATATAATGAAAATCGATCTATCTTCATCTAACATTATTCTGTGACGACGCCTATCATCAAAATTGAAAATTCATCTAACAATAGAGATTTTTATAAAACTGAGTGAATTTATATCATTAATCTGGAACTTATATATCTTGATTATTGATATCATCTGTAAAGAATAAAACTATTGTTTTATTAATCATAAATTATATACCCTTCTTTGTTTACTTTCATTAAAACATATAGATATTGCATATCCTGTAGTATGTTGCAAATTGAATCAAAATTATGCAATTATTGATTCTACATGTCCAGATCAATTTAATGAAAATAACAGTAATTATAAAACTGGTTGTAGAAGTCCATTAAAAGAACTTTTCCTTAAATATATGGACTATGTAGCTTATGGATTAATTGCGGCATTTGTTATATTGGTAAGTATTATTCCTTTTATAAAAATTTATTTCGAGTTACTTTTTTTTCGTCTTTAATTAATCATGGATGTTATGGTATAGTGATTAAGAACACCGGTGGGAACATTCGAATATATTCAGGAACAACATTACATAATATTTCAGTAAAATATGAGGACCATATAGTAAATAGTTAATTTGTAAACTATTGATCAATTATAAGCAAAGATGGATAGTGACTAGCAGTTGAATCCAGGACGCACGTTTCGTCCTATTTGGGACTCCTCAGCTGGATGTATCTGCATCTCAGAGTTGATGTTCACTCTAAAACTCGATTGGAAAATTCAACCGAACAATACCAAGTGAATTTAATCTTAAACATGACTGCATACTTAACTTGGTTGTATAATTTCAAGATGTATTTTCATCTTGAACTGATAACAATGTGAAGACATTACTTCTGAGAAGTTCTAAACTAGAAAGAAACAATTGTCACATACTGTGCATACTAATCTGTGATAAGAATTATGTTCAAAGGAAATGATTAATAATTTCTTATACAGTATTTTTTTTATCAGAAGGGGGTTTTGTGGAGATTTCAGTAATTTTATATAGTTGAGATCATGAGTCAATTGAAGCTAAACCGCCATGGAAAACCTGGAAGCACCGGATGGCCTTTACATCCTCTTGTGAGATGCGCACTACTGAGGAGTCCCACAATAGGACGAAACGACTGTCCGGTGCTTCCAGGTTTTCCATGGCGGTTTAGCTTCAATTGACTCATGATTTCAAGTATGTATAATTTTTTTCCATTGATCCTCTAAAATTATATTAAAACATTAAATATTTGTTTTCTCTAATCTTTTTTTTTCAGTTGCTCGTTGTTATATTCACACTTTTAACCATTTATATTGATGTTATCTGAACAAACAAATAAACAACCAAACAAACTGACGAAAACGAAATTAAATGAAATGGAATTCAATTGATTACAGTTTGTTTAAAAAATTATCACCCATTGTTTGTCTATACTCGGTTAAGAGCTAAATACTCAAATAAAAAGTGATTTCTTTTGTTGAACTTCGCCTTTAAAACAAAATAAATATAATGCCTTTGCATAGTTGATGTATACATCTATGCTCTTTATGTATGTGTGGATATAGCTGACAGGTTAACTTTTCACACTTCCAATCTCTTAATATGACGTTTTTTTATAACCATTATTATTCTTTGTATCACTGCTGTTAGCATAATCATTATACACATTATATAATGTTAAGTAATCAACAATGTTTCTTTCCATGAATTCATACTACCATTAGTTATTGTACTTTGATCATGTTTAAATCCAATGGATGTAATTTATATGACTATTATTATTATTATTATACATTTTAATTGAAACCATTTATTACATAAATAAACAAACAATTCACCTCTTATTGATAATGTTGTTGTATTCAATACAATATATGTAATAAGGTTACTTGTTCTTCATTACATATATATATATATTCTCTCTTTATGGTGTCGGTAAAATGGGAAAAGAAGTTTGTTACTAACTAAATATTTATGTAAGCAGTTGATAAATAAATAGACATTTGAATATGAAATAATTTTGATATTTTGTTCTTTTTTATTATGTATACTTGAAATATGACTAATAGTGGGATCCTGTCCGAAGTTTGTGGTGATGATGATGTTCAGAAGGATGATAAAAGCTCCACGATCAAACTATCCAGCTGAGAGAATAAAACTCCATCATAATAGTTGGATTCAGAATGCCCTGGTGCGGCCGAGAGTGGGGAGAGTTCGCTCTCCCTATCGAAATGCTATCACATGGCCACGCGTATATAGCCTCTATCAGAGAAGTCCTACTCACTGCCTTCTCGCAAACGAGGGATTGAAGTGATAAATACAAACAAAATACAGGAAAATATATATGTATATATTGCAGAATAAAATGGATCGTGGATGCGCACTGCTGAGGAGTCCCACAATAGGACGAAACAGCCGTCCAGTGCTTCCAGGTTTTCCATGGTGGTCTAGCTACAATTGACTAATGATTTCAACTATGAAAATGAAAAGAATGAAATTTTTTAAATAACTACCAGTTTCCCTGACAAAACTATTTAAGGCTTAAAAAGGTAACCGCATTTCTTCAACTCAATATGAAACTCATCGATGAACTTCATATTAAATTTGGAATTGAACTCAATCTATCACTTCCTCAATGGAGGATCAATTAAGTGAATCCATATGAAAAATGTACGATTCATAAATTGTTTATTCTAACCTCTTGAACAAGAAAAAAAGTTATATCCACTTACTGAATTTAAGTATCAGAGAAATATGCAAAATGAAAAAGAGAAGTCCTTATACAGAACAAATAACTTGATGTAATGCATTTATTAAGTTTTTATATGAGTGGTATTGATAATACGCAACTGTTCAAGTTTATGTAAGTGAAGTGACATCTAAAACTGAAACCTACTGGTTGATAGTCTAGTACTTTGAGCACTGGGCGATTTCTCTAACGTAGGTATAAATATGAGTTCGTCATCAGGAAGTCTCTTCACTGCGTAAATATTCAATTCTTGCAAAAACTGATTCTTCGAAAAGTTATCAAATGATAGTTTGTAAAAACATTGAACCATGGTAATTTGATGTGTTAATGCATAAATGGAGATTGTACAATTAAATTTAAGTACCTATTTGACTAAAGGGTGTTAGGAAGTGTTGAACGGCATCTGAGCAATGTGCCATGACGAACACAATCAACCACACCGTTGCTGCCACCTTGATGTATTGGTCAGGTTTGCTTATCGTGATGAACCGTTTGCCCTACATTAACCGGAACAATCGTTCCTCAAGGTCCTATCATGCCAGGCAGGTCGACTGAAGAGCGATAAGACCAAAAGCAGCAAACCCAAGGTCTGGGAGCGAAGTTGTACTAACGACTGTATAAAGGTGTGACGGCAGTCAGAATGTCAGAGATGCTGCCTACCCATGTGACTATCGTAACGAGTGGTTGGAGACTCTGGGTGACATGACTCAGAATCTATCACAACGGTGTAGGTGTATACACATTTTTCTTCCCTTAGACCGTGAGATTAAAATCACCTTATGCCTTTATTTCTACGAAGTAATTCCTGCCTGATCCTATGTTATAGATAGATGACTGACTGAACTCATTGAATCAAAATCTAAATTGACTTTCAATGTAGACATATTCATAACACATAATCTTCATTTATTCTAATGTCACTAATGAACTCAACAAAAATACAATCAAACATTTTATCTCTATGAGCACTGATGTCCACGATATCTATGATTTATTTATCCTTCAATTATATAACCTATTCCCTTTGTTCTATGAAGCTTTTATTCGATCAATCATTAATTTCAATCTACTAGAATATAAGGCATACGGTTGATATCAAGGCTAATATTATTCAGATTACGGTAGTTGAAGATTTCGTTTCATAATCCAATAAATGGAAGATTAGTGCTTCGATCATATTAAATGTATGCACTTGGGTTGTTGTCGTTTTCTTCTTCTGAAAAACAAACAAACAATTATAATAGTTTTAAAGCATGAGTCAATTGAAGCTAGACCACCATCGAAAACCTGGAAACACTGGACGGCCGTTTCGTCCTATTATGGGACTCCTCAGCAGTGCGCATCCACGAACCCGCTCGCGCGAGATTCGAACCCAGGACCTACCAGTTTCGAGCCGAAGCCCTTAACCGATAGACCACTGAGCTGGCATCCAACGGTGTTAATGTCTAACTTCAACTGATATAACATTATTAACTAATAACTTAGAATCAAAATGTCTATACTACACTTGATACCATTAACCCGAATTGACAATAGAGAGGAGGAAATAACAAAAAAATTAACATTTATTATTATTCTATAATATTATTATTTTTTTTTTAAATATTTATAGAATGCAATAAAATAGTTAAGAGAATGAATGTATAATTCCCTTTTTATTTATTGGGATAGTTGAAAGAAATATAAGTGATAACGATCATTTATCATCATCAGTACTGTCACTTATTATGGACATATTAATTTGACGAGAAAAAAAAAGACTGTGCTCAAAGAAAATGAGATAAGTTGGAGTCGTGAACAAAGAGGGAAAAAAGTATGTAAATATATTCATAGCGTGGTGAGTGTAAGTAAGTACAACACTATATTAAACGGTACATACAAGTAATAATGATAGTAGTAATAGTGATAGTAGCACTTATAGTTAACGTCTTTAATAATAATAATACATGAATTAATGCATATGTACTGTACAAAAATGTATTATTATTATCATCATTAGTAGTAGTATTTATCAATCTACTGGCAATTATAACGACCAGTACTATTAGGCAACGTTGATTATTAAAACACAGCCCATAGGAAACAAAGAAGTTAAGACGAAAGCAGATAATAATGATAATGATTCTTATTGCTACGATTATTTGATAAAGCATTACAATGAAAGAAGACTATAATGGTCCTCCCATTAGACAAAAAGAAGAAAGTAGTAGTGGTTGGCACATAAGGAGAGAAGTAAATAAAAACACATCGTATTCAGAAATGCAGATTGAAAGAAAAAATAAGCAACCTGAAAGATACACACAAATGACAATGCATTTTACAGCTGCCAACTGAGAGGTGGTTGTTGTAGGTCAGTTGTGTTTGCCTTGACTGTCTTGTTTGTTTTAGCAAAGGCAATGTGAATGAGTGCTAAAAATTTTTGGGGAGGGGAATTTCACAGTTTGACATGTGTAAACATTAGGCAAAGTACATGACTCTTAAGGTTTCTGGATGAACTGTAACAGCCCTCATCATAGCCGTAGGTGTACGTTCATCTGAATTGCCTGATTTTTGACTACCTTCACCACTAGAAAATAAAAACGAAAAATTGTTGTAATTGGCGCTATAATACAAGATACTAACAAAAATAATCTCAAAAATTAAACGAATGTAAATAGTTACATATATAGCACATACAGTAGCTATGATATAATAATAGGAAAGAGTGGAGACGTGGGAACAGACGTGTATAAATCTATGACATTATTACTGCCTGTATTGATATGATATGGTGGACAAGGAAAAATCTGTTATTCATATAATTATTAATTAAGTACGCAAAGCAGATTGTACAGTAGTAAATGAAAATAAGAAACAATAGACATTACTGGAGGACTAGCGATATATAATCCCGTTGAGTTATTGAGTGAAACACAATAATCAAGTTTTGTAAAGTTTAAAGTGAACCATTTAGGCTATGGAGAGAATTGATATTCATATTCTAAGTGTTTGACTTTAAATTCGAGATATATGCGAAACTAAATTGATAAACCATTAATACTCAATAATGATCTGTAGGCTGAAGACTGTTGTCGACTACGCATAACCTGTTAGTATTTTAGTCGATTATGTCTGACTTTCTGACTACTAAAATCACTGTTTTGACAAGTATAAATGTTATGATAGCGCCCAGAAAGGTCTCTTCATTCACCCATTAACACAAGCAGAACGAATGAAATATTTTGATCAGTATAGTGCGTAATTTAGTGACTTGACATGAAGTTTAAGTATTAAATAATGATAATTTATTTTAATCGTTCTTGCTTCATATCTTCTGAGTCTCTCTAGAAGAAATCCATGTGTAACTTATCTTGTTTTCAGAAGGGGGTTTGTGGAGATTTTAGTATTTTTAAAAGTTGAAATCATGAGTCAATTGAAGCTAGACCACTATCGAAAACCTGGAAGCACTGGACGGCCGTTTCGTCCTATTATGGGACTCATCAGCAGTGCGCATCTACAAACCCGCTCTCGCGAGATTCGAACCCAGGACCTACCAGTCTCGAGCCGAAGCCCTTAACCGATATCTTGTTTTGCATTTCAAAATATTTGATCTACTATGTCAAGCGAATTGAAGTCTAATCGAACTGATGAGCCAGCATAAACTACAGTATATTAGGAAACAGAAAATATTTATCTTTTTAAGATGACACGAACAGCACTCTTGATTGAAGTTAATGCTTTGACGATTCCGACGAGATGGTCTGTAGTGAAGAGCCAATCGAGCTAAGACAACTGCATTTTTGAGGCTTTATCACATCAATTCAAGGTCTGAGGACGAAGTCATACTTTCGACTGTATTGGAGTATGGAGGTAGTAAAGTTTCTCTCATAAGTAGCAAGCAATTCCAGCGATGACTTTTTACTGAAGATGAAAAAAAGTTAAAAGTATCAGTCTTAATAGTAACGTACTCCTTCATAGCCCTATAACAGAACTCCAGTTAATCAAATCAATGAAATAGTCATGATGAAATCAGATCATTTTAAAACTAACCTATCTATTTCTTTCTCAACTAAATGATATCGTGCTCGAAATGCAACTAAATGTGCATAATAGGCTGGAGCAGGGATTGACACAGAACGAGTACAACGTACATATGTATGACATAATTGATAAGTTAGATTTTGTATATCATCAGCACTAAATCTATTTACAAAGAAAAAAGAAGAAACCACAAAATGAAAGACAATAATAACAATAATATAAAGACGATCAACAAATCTGTATATGACTTAAGCAAATATCATATGTGTATAAACAGTTGTATTAAATAACCCCAAATGCCCTGGTACGACCGAGAGTGGGGAGAGTCAGCTCTCCCTCTCGAAATGCTCTCGCATGGCTAGCGAATATATAGCCTCTACAAGGGAAGTCCTACTCACTGCCTTCTCGCAAACGGGGGTGTTGTTCACGAAATTGAGAGGACGAAAAGC